GAGTTCAACTTTATTTCTTAATTTGTGGTATATGACATCGTAGATTTGAATATATTATAAGAATCGTAGATTTAAACCCAAAACTCCCAACTCTAATGTACTATTAAAGAGTAGATATATTTGATTTATATGTCTGTATTATTACATTTATAACATATAAATTAGTCCTCGATCCATTAATCCAATGTTTATTATTAGTAACGTCTGATTTATGTCGATGATATCACAAAATAGTAATGATCGAATAAGTTAGCACCTACCTTGAGTAATGTTTTGTTAAGTTTGTAAGTTGATGGCATTTAAGTTATACAACACTATAGCTATTTTGATCTAAGATCTTTAAATGGACGATGCATGTAAATCTATCTTATTACGACATTCCAACTTTAACATATACAACCCATACACGGGTCATAATTAAATATACACGTATACCAAATGAGAGAAATTCTAAATAATACTAAAAACTCTTGAATAAAATGACTTATATATATTCATCTGGACCCACTTTTAGGTAGCTCAAGTGGTAGGACTAATGTTGGAACGTATGGTTAAGACGTATGGTCTCAGGTTCGAATCGTCATAACTCCTGAGATTTAAGCGGATGATCATGGCGGTAGGATGTTGAACTACTCACCTGCAGGAATTAGTCAAGATACGTATAAGTTGGTTTGAACATTTTGTTTCCAAAAAAAAAAAAAAAAAAAAACACCTGCTTCAATTGGACCTTACAAACACATCAAACATTTAAGTGAGGAAGTCGTCCATGCTCCGTTTTCTCGGCTTCCAAACAAACAAATGTGTTTCCGATTTTCTGGGCCCAGAAATCTGAGGAAAATTATATGTCATTTAATTTGAGTGTATCTAAAGAACAAAATCATGGGTGATAAAAAGATGGCCCACCACGCATGTGACCTAAATTAGTAAATTGTGGCGAAAATCAATTTGAGTATTTGACTTTCCCCAGAAAAAGATGAATTTTTGTCAATTCCCAAGACCCCAAAAGAGATTTCTAATCATCTCTTTACATGAACCTCCACTTTGGACGATTGTCGTTTGATATTTTTATTAAATTTAATTAATTAATTAAAAACCATTAATTTTCTTAATTTTCCTTGAGCCGAAAGAAAGAAGGTTGACTAAACAATAGTTCTTTTAATGGGAGTTATATTATCATAAATCATGCTGATTTAGGATTATTAATTAATTAAATTATTTGGAACTTTAATTTTAATAATTTTTTAATATTAAAAATAATATTTATTTTATATAAATTATTTACTAAAATGGTTTATATATTGTTTGAGAAAATATGAATTTTTTTTTTATGAAAATAACTCCTTTGATTTTGTTCAAACAATTAAATAAAAGTCAAAATTGATTTAATATTTGGAATAAATATTGTCTTGATTCTATATTTATAGTCAAATAATTGAATTGATTTTCCTATTTAATCGAAGTTATTAATTTATCGAAGTTTAACCCTATATATTTATCACTAATATGTCACATGATTAACTATCGTGAATAAATAAGGAAAAATTGACAAGGAAAAATTGACAATACATTCAAAAAATATAAATAAATGATATATGATAAAAATGCAATATTATACGAATAATAAATATTAGACTAAGATTAGATGGACTTGTACAAAACAAGTCAAATAAGTTGACACAAATATGAAAAAAAATAGATTATATCTATTTGTATTTAAAGTATGGAAATATGGTGTAATAATTGATGAAATTACAACCCACAAATGAATATAAAATAAATATTAGAATAAACAAACAAAATTAATTTCACCTATAAGATCAACTAATTTTTAAGCATTATTCACAATTCTAATGAAATAAACAAATAAAATGAAAAAGTAGTATACCAAAAGAATATAATATATGCTTTTTATTTATCCAAAGATATAAAGAAATCTATCAAATAAAATAATATATAAATATAACAATATAATAAAATGTAAAATAATACCCATTGATTTAGAATTAGAATATGCGGAGAATCGTAATAAGAAGAACAAGCATGCACCACGCCTATTTATCAATTATTATTTATTAATTTAATCAAACATCTAATCTAATCGATTCTTTTCAAATTGTCCCCACCGTTCAACCAAAAGCTTAAGCTAAACCAACCATCTAAAATCATAAATAGTTGATTATATTAATACGAATAATACTATATATGTATAATTTTTAGACGTGGACGTCTTATTTTTTTTTTTTTTAATATGCAAATTAAAAATTAACAACTAATAGTTGCTTATTTTTGTATTTTATTAAGTTAACTATTAATCACTAATTTTTTTTTCTTTTTATATACTTTCTTTTTAATAAAAAATCAGGACGTTTGCACTTAAAAATTAGTATATATTTATATATTGATATATCATTATTCTTTATTATCGGATTATTCATTCTCGTATTTTTTTAATATGTTATTTTAATCTCTTTTTTGTTATTGTAACCAAGGTGTCCGAAGTAGCTTACGTGTATCTCAATTAATCATTGGAACAGATTAGCATAGTAATCCACTACTATAACCCTCCACTTAAATTACGGATGTTCATAACTAAAGACTGTATGTCTATCCACATTATCACTTATTCACCCTAACACGTGAGTTACCTATTAATGGGTGTTTTAGTCATTTTATAAAATACAAATATATNAATCAAACATCTAATCTAATCGATTCTTTTCAAATTGTCCCCACCGTTCAACCAAAAGCTTAAGCTAAACCAACCATCTAAAATCATAAATAGTTTATTATATTAATACAAATAATACTACGTATATATAATTTTTAGACGTGGATGTCTTAATTTTTTTTTTTTTAATGTGCAAATTAAAAATTAATTTTTGTATTTTATTAAGTTAACTATTAATCACTAATTTTCTTTTCTATATACTTTCTTTTTAATAAAATATCAGGACGTTTGCACTTAAAAGTTAGTATATATTTATACATTGATATATCATTATCCTTTATTATCACATTATTCATTCTCGTATTTTTTTAATATGTTAGTTTAGTCTTTTATTATTATTATTATTTTTGTAACCAAGATGTTCGAGCTAGTTTATGTGTATCTCAACTAATCATTAGAAGAGATTAGCATAGCAACCAACTGCTACGACCCTCCACTTAAATTATGAATGCCCAGAACCAAATATCGTATGTCTATCCATACTATCACTTGTTCACCCTAACCATGTAGGTTACCCATTAATGGGTATTTTAGTCATTTTATAAAATACAAAATTGTGTGAAGAATATATATATAAAAAGTTTGTCTTTGTAGTAATATTTTTTCTTTTATGCAATTAATACGTATAATTATACACTATAAGATAAAACTAAAAGTAAATTTTATTTTTTTTCCAACATATTTTTGGAACGTTTTGATATATATATATTTCTTTTTAGTTTCTTGTTGTTTTTGATGAACGTTGGTTTAGTTATGTCCTAGGAAGTAGTTTTCAAATTTAATAAAACCAAGTTTAATAGATATAATAAGCATATTTTAAGAATCCTAAGGCAATTTTTTGTTGTTCATATAATGTCATTATTTTTGTCACTATTTTAAATTCAATCACTTTACATGCACATAATTTAGGGTTCTCTTACTCAATAATACTTACTATTTACTATGGTATAAAAATGAATAATTGTATTAATAAATTACTTTAAATGAGTAATCAATGTTGATTTATCATTTTAATTAATTTAATAGTTATTATTAAATTATTAATAATTTAGGGTTCTCTTACTCAAAAATAGTTATCATTTTAAATTTATATATCTCAACTTTATAAATATAATAATTTATCGAATCAATACCATAACACGGCCTTATATGAAACACATAAGTTTGGTAACGTTGCCGGTTCATGGTACCAATACCGTCACTTAAATTCTAGCATTATGTCCACGAAGATAATTGGAGATTTTGTGGTGACACATCGAAAAATAATGCAAGAGGTAGGAAGTTTCTTATTATCTTTTGACTATAATTTTATTCTAAAGTAAAAGGAAAAAACATTTTTGGTTGGCCCTTATTTAATTGGCCCCACGGGATAACAAAGAAGATTGGGCAAACGTGGATGCAGACGGATTCCAGTATGATCCATGCAACACCGTCGGCGTCGTGTCAGACGCGTCCAACAAGCTGTTTATGATTCACTCCTTCAACATCTTGACTTCTCTTGTTTGACTTCTATCTTCCTATTAAGACGTAATATTTTTATAAAAAGGGAAAAATTTTTATGGGTTATGAGTTTGAATTCGTCCGAGTATTAATAGGGGTGACCATTCGAGCTTTTATTAGTTGTATTTAAGTGGTCACTTACAGCTCGTAGGTCTTGTTTTTGCGTCCCACAAAGTGGCCATCTACAACTCATAGGTCTTATGTTTGAATCACACAAAGTGGTCACCTATAACTGACCCGGACACTCTAACTAATCTATTATGTAAATTGGATATTAAATTTTATTTTATTTTTTTGGTATTTGGGGGTGTTTGAGTCAGTTTGCATGCATCGTAACTAGTCCCCAAAGCCTTGAAACGGCCAAATAAGCTTCCAATAGCTACTCTTTATTAATAATTATGAGAATTCGAACTCAAAACATTTTGAGTAATACATTCAAGAGTTTTAAACGAACGGTCAAACTTTTTAGAGGTAGTTAAATAAGTTATTATTACAGTAACAATACGTCAACATAAAATTCGGAAACTCTTAACAAGAAATTTGTAGTCCAAAACTATAAAATACGGTTGATATGATACCCTGGTAGTATTTTAGGTATTTTCTTAATTAAAAATAAGTAGAATTAATTTTTATTAAATAGAGTAAAGATCAAGGCAAGAGTCAAGACAAAACGTATAGAAAACCTTAAAAAATTCAATCCCTACAAAGTGGTTCTTCTCTCTAATTAAAATAAAATAAAAAGTTCAATAATATTCCACTTCCCCAAAATCTTTGAACCAGCAAACAAACACAAACACAAAACCATGTCGTTTTGGCTTATCTTCCTCCACCATTCCTTTCCGCCTCTTATAAATACATCAATATGCTCACGCCTTCTCCTCCACACCCGCCTCCTGATCTAATCCTCTTCGCCCCTCATTCCTTCTAACCCATAACTTTTGATTCATTTTATTTACACCCTTTTCGTTTTTCTTCAATTCATTCATTTTTTTCACCATGGCCATTGCTTATCCCCATTTGATTCCCGCTGAAAAGCCCGCCTCAATGGAGTCTTCTTTATCCTCATTATCTCCTCCCGTTATTTTAACCCAGGACGAGCTCAAAAAAATTGCCGCTTACAAGGCCGTTGAGTTTGTCGAATCGGGTATGGTTCTCGGTCTCGGAACCGGGTCCACCGCGAAGCACGCCGTGGATAGAATCGCCGAGTTGTTGCACCAAGGCAAGCTTAAGAACATTATAGGAGTACCCACTTCGAAGAAGACGCATGAACAGGCGGTCTCGTTGGGGATTCCTTTGTCGGATCTTGATACGCACCCGGTTCTCGATTTGGCCATCGACGGGGCGGACGAAGTCGACCCGTTTTTGAATTTGGTGAAAGGGCGAGGTGGGTCTCTGCTGCGGGAGAAAATGGTGGAGAGTGTGTGTAAGAAGTTTGTGGTGATTGTTGATGAGTCGAAATTGGTGTGTCATTTGGGCGGGAGTGGACTGGCTATGCCGGTTGAAATAGTGCCGTTTTGTTGGAAATTTACGGCAAAACGACTGCAGGAGTTGTTTGAGGATTCTGGGTGTGTGGCAAAGTTGAGAACTTGCTTGGAAAAAAACCAACCATTCGTTTCTGATAATGGAAATTATATTGTTGATTTGTATTTCAAGAAGGATATTGGGGATTTGAAGGTGGCCTGTGATGCAATTTTGAGGCTTGCTGGTGTTGTTGAGCATGGCATGTTTCTTGATATGGCTACTACAGTGATTGTTGCAGGGGAGCTTGGGGTTGCAATCAAGCATAAGCAATGAAAATGAAGGGTATTTCAGTTTTTCTTATTTATAGGATTAACTATTTGTTTACCCTTTTTCAGTTGAAGCCCCAGAGAGGGATATTTGAGTTCATTTTATTAGAGCCGATTGATAAATGTATCCTCAAGTTTTGCTGAGACAAGGATAAGGATTAGGAGATTTTTAGGTAATTTTGTGGACGACTTAATGATAGAAAAAAAGAAAAGAAAAGAAGAAAAATATGGTGTATTTCAGTTGTCATTGCAAGTTTAGATCTAATATTTATAAAAGCATTGGATTTGACTGGGTCAGATTTTTATACTCAGTACTATTCTCTTTTTTATTGTTATTATTCTAGGCTGCATGTTTCTTGTGTTGTGATTGATAGCTTGACAAATCTGGAATATGCAACTATTTTTGTTGACAATATATCATCAAACTGTGGCTCAAATTCTGATTGGATTAATTTTCTTTGTGCATAGTTCTTCTTCTTTTTTTTCTTTTTTTTTTTTTTTTCTCTATTTTCTGAAATTGTTGGGTAGCATGATGGTACATTCATTCAGCAAATGTTTGTTGGAGGGTCTGGTTTTGGCTTTGGAAGCCGAAGGCTTCTTGAGTGTTCTTGACGAGCAGAGTGAAATAACTTGTTCTAGGTTCCTCGAGTGTTCTTGATGAGCAGAGTGAAATAGCGTGTTTTTGTTTATTGTTTCACTTAATTCATGTTACTTTGGTGTTAACCCTTTAACTGTAATGCCAAAGAGATTGTATTTGATTTCCTTGACAATTACCCTGAAGCCAGAAGTCATTGTTATTAGGTTCATACCTATCAATCTGATTGTAATTTCATTGAAAATGCATGTGGACATTGTTTTGCCTTGTAACCTCCCATTCTTTATCTTATTCTTCTGCCAAATGAGTGGTGATGAATCCTTTATGGAGAAAGTGTGTTTTATGAACAGTCTTAGAGAATCCCCAGATTTCGTCCCTGAGGACTGTATATGTGTAAAGTGGCCTTCAAAATATATGGAAAGATTTTGTGCAACTCAATCTATTTCCCTATTGGATATTAATTTGTTTATAATTTTCTTCAATGTGGCTGGACTTGTGAGTCAGAGTTGTCTACATGACTTGGATTGTTGACAATTATGTATGCTATACTGTTATGAATATTATTACTGCCCTCCAAATATTGTGAATGTTGTTGAGGCATCCTTTATCTTGAGCTTTCTCGACTTCTTTCAATAATCAATGAGAGTTTTCCAAGAAATCCAGGTGTTTGTGAGTGAGATGGATTCTAAAGCCAACAAAGTGAATAAAATTCAACTCCTACACCATTAAGATTGTATAAGCTCAATTGTTGAAGGTAGCTGTTGGAATCCTTACGAAGCACATGTAATAAAAATTCTAAGAAATGATGCAGGAGTTGTGAATATGGTATTTATCGGCATGCTATTTGACTGCAGCAGAACTTTGAAACCTCGAGAGTTTCTCAGCTCTTGCTTTTGCTGTAATTCGTCTGTTAAACAAGTTTATAATCTGCTACACTTGCTTGTAGTGAGCAAAATATCTATTATTCTGATCGAGCCTTACTCACTTTCTGCCAATATGTTCGGTAAGCTAGCTTTTAATTTGTCATGCTCTTTAGTATACATTTACATTTTCTTTCTTGCTCTAGGCCTTACATACTTGTATTTTGACAATTTAGAAGATGATTCAAGTTATGGAAGTTGAGACTGATTGCAATATTTTTGTCTTTTCTTGAATTCTGACTAGCTGTGGTGTTAAGTGTAGATAATTTTGATGATTAAACTCCTTGCTACCTTGTGTATCAGATTCATCTATAATATTTTCAAACAAAGACAAATCTTTACCTTGTAGGCAAATAATTTTTGCAGATATATGTTCATATTTTTATTCCTTTATCTTGAAAAGGTTGGCTTCATACGGCTTGACATTTTTTCTGATATCGATGTCATCTTTCTAAATTTTGTTTTTTCTGTTACCATCTCCATGCTTATCCTCATATGGTTTCAAATCTGATCATGCATCTGGAACCTTTTTATGTAATTTCATTTTCTGTGAAGACGACTCCTACATGCTGACAAAATTTATAATCTGTTATAATGTATTTCCTTGGAAAATTTCTATTCAGTTTTTGGAAGCAAATCTGTCATAGATCCACTAGATTCATTTGTTACACAAATTGTGCTTAATTTAAGTGCTTGCTGAGCAGAACTCTGGATAAAACCTCAGTTGTTTGTATCTCTATAATCAAAACATTTTGTCCGCATCTTTAGTTCTGTCTTAATTAGTGACTTGGACGAATTTACAGGGATAAGGGCTCTGAGTTTGTGGAATGTCAAGTGATTCATAGCTTAGGAAATGGGATTGGCAAGTTTGGCAAACAAGATTAGTAGAGTTCTGGCATTGAAGAAAGATGAGCTGCGTTTCCTCTTTAACTTTTTAGAATATGTTGCCCTTCTGTTAGTTCACTATGACTCCTGCCTGCAGGTCAGCTTCAACTCACCATGAAAAGTCTGCAAAAAGCCAGTTTCATTGATAAAGGTTATACATCGAGTATGCAAAACAAAATTATTTCTATATGCATCTACTTTTTGTTTTCTGAGTTAAAAGGTTTTGTTCAAACTGTTAATATAAATTGGTGAGGAGTTTGGTTACTTTGCAATTGAATGATGCAACATGAAGTGTTGGCATTTCGAAGTATTATTGCTGAACCTGAACTTGGGTTAGATCACAAAAATAGGATAGAATTGTTTAAATGCTTGATCCAGGTAACTGTGGAGCCTGATAGTTGAACTATTTTCAGATCATTCAGCTGTTGATCGACTGGATAATCATAATCTGCTGTACTAACTTGCATGTGAGATTATAAGTTATAACTATTAGATTATCAAATAATGGTTGATCATAATTGGATAAATTACCATCCAAAGATGACCTTACTTGGGGATAAGGTTGGATGATCCACCAATACACACAACTGTAATGTTTGCAGTCTGTGAGCATTGGATGCCTAAGAAACTTAATGGGAATGTGGTCCAGAAGCTGTGTTCTTATTAACTGGACATATCTTCTTGGAATAGAAGTTGTTTAGTGGAAACAGTTTGAATAAATAATTACATTATGCTTTCAGAAAAATCCAGGTCTTTTTGTCTTTGCATTGTATAATATCTTTCTTGTTTTCAGAACCTTCTTTGAAAAGGAAAAATCTGTACGTATAGCATTGCAATGCAACAAGTTCATGAGAAAATGAGAAAGAAAAACAGAGAAGGATAGGATTGTTTATGGGCTTGTAGCATATGACAATACAAATCCAGCTATTTGGGCCCAATCCAACTAAAGTAATTTAATCATGATATTGGGCCCAAATAACATTTTTTTTGTGACCGAGAGTGTTCAAATCAGGTTGCGCGCATCTCAACTGATCCTTTGAGGTTTTAAAGTGAACGATCGAATAAACCCTTCAATGGCTACTTTTATTAGCAATTAAAAGAAGTCAAACTCAAAACTTCTTGAGTAATACACCCAAAAATCTCTATCGTCTCACTCGATCATTAAGAGGTAGTTTAGCAGGATAACGTTATTATAATATTATAAAATTTGACATAAATGAATCAATAATCTAATTATAAATCCTCTTTTTCTTTCTTCCCTAAGATGAAAAGGGGAACGTGGTAATAATAGTGCTAGCAGCTTTTGGCACAAACTCTTAAGTGTGAACAAGGTTGAGGGGACCTCTTGTCTGTATTAATGTTAAGCTATCTTATTCTTTCTCTTTGCACCCAAAATTTGACAAAACTTGTCCATCTTCTTGATGCATGAATCAAAACTTCTGTATAAAAAATTAAGTACATAAAGACAATAATATTATACCCTTTTCTCCATGAATAAAGTTTGGTGTGCCCACCACCATCTTATGGTGCAGCAAAAGCAGTAGTGGGCCAAAAAAGGTTCCAAAAACCCTAAAATCATGGCAAGAGGTACGGGAAGAAGAGAAAAAGAGTAAATTTTCGACAACTTTGGTTATATCGCAATCATGTACAATTTTTTTTTTTTTTTTTTTTTTAATAATCGAGGTGTGCAAAACTAGGTTGCACACAATTTATGGGTGTTCAAAAGCAGTTAACTATTTTTCTTAACCAAACTGGTTGTTCGATTTGGAAAAATTCCCGAATCAAAACTGAACCGGTTTAAAGAGAAAACCGATTTTTCAGTTAGCTGAAAAACCGATTAACCACTTAAAAAAAACGGTTAACTGGTTTTGAACCGATTTTCCCTTTTTTTTTCATAAATTTTTTTTCTAAATTAAATTGTAAATATAAACAATACATATCTAAATAAAAATTAAACATTTATACATATCCATTGACTACTACTAACAATACATTAAAAATTGATATAAATAAAAGTTCGAAATAAAATTATTTTTTTTATTTAATATATATATTTGTAAAACTGGTTCAAAAAACTGGTTTCAATTAACCCTTTTTTATTTTTTTCTGAACCGAAAATCCGATTTTTTGAATTTTTTAAACCATAACCAAAATATTTTTTTAGTTCGGTTATCAGTTCGATTACTGTTTCAACTCGGTTTTTATATTTTTTTGAACACCCCTAGCACGCATCGCCTAATCTTGAGACCCACTGAATCTACAAACCTAATAGACAAATAAGTCACAAATATGAGAGTAAAAATATAGAATATCCAAAGGTTTTGTCATCCAGCATCAAGAGATATTATAAGTTTAACGTTTCGGTTTATAAGTTTCAAGTTATGAGTTTATTTTTTATTTTAAAATTATAAATTCTGAAATTTAATTAATCCGGTAACATTCCTCAATTGATGCTCGGATATTCTCTTATCTTGTTAATCATTGGGTAGAGGTTGCGCTTGTCAAAGTCTCCATCATTACGATCCCTTAATTAGGATATAATAATTATTAGGTTTAATTTTTCTTTTATATATATTTCTAAAATAAAATAAATGGTGTAGGAAAAAGTTGATTGATGGAAATAATGAAAGCTATGAGAAAGTTGACAAGACAGGAAGCACTTTTGAGCGC